TCCTGAGTGCTGGGATTAAAGGCATGTGCCACCACGCCCAGCTTATATATTATTTTTTATTTTTATGTATATGCGTGTATTGCCTGCATGTAGGTAAGTGCACCTGTGTCATGCAATGCCCAAGGAGGACAGAAGAGGCTGTCGGATCCCCTGGAACCAGAGTTACGGGCAGTTGTTAGCTGCCATGTGGGTGCTGGGTTTCGAACCCGGGTCTTCTGCAAGAACAGTCAGTGCTCTTAACCACTGGGCCATCTCTCCAGCCCCTGTTTGTTTGGTTTTAAGACAGGGTCTCACTATGTAGCCCAGGCTGGTCTGGAACTCACTATGTGGACCAGGCTGGCCTGGAACTCACAGAGACCTGCCTGTGCCTCCCAGTACTGGAATTAAAGACATGGAACCCCTTCTTTTGACATAACAAAATCTTACAGGAGTCTTAGCCCTGATTTGGGTTTGAATTACAAGGTCTTATTCCCCATGGCCCTTTCTGATTAAGTCTGGCTATGTGCACCCACTTCACAATCTTTGGCAGTTCACCGGACATAAACAAGAAACCTCCCTTTCTGTGACATAATTTTCCAAGAGTCGAAATGTTTTGCAAATACTTTCTTGTTAATTAACTAATCCACACCAGGAGAATGATCTGTGAATCCTTTCTTTTTAATTCTGCTTGCAATTATTATGGATCAATACCTGTGCAGAGACCTGGGGTGGAGAAGGCCACAGCTGGGGACTGGAGGGCATGAGTGAAGGTTCAGGCCCAGGTAGAACCGACCTCAGATGGTGGCAGAATGGCCCCAGCACCTTTATTCTGTATACATGCTTAGAAATAGCAACCCGCAGGCTTCCGTTTTGTATAATTATCATTTAGTATACCCAGTAGGGTTTTCAAGCCCTTCACATCTTCGTGGATTTATTTTATTTCGGAGTGAAAGTGACTTTACGACCCAATTACCATTAATGTGACTTATTGCATTATGTGAGGGAGGGGGAGGGGTTGGAGAAGACAGTCTGATGACGGGAGGCCACTTGTTCCTGCCAAAGAAAAGGGGTGACCAAACCTCTGCTTTATTGTTAGAGCGCTGAAGTCCTGGCCACCGAGCTGTCCTCTACCAGATGCGCGTGTCTAGGTGGTGCAGAAGCCACGCCAGAGCGCAGATGGTCATCGATCTTCTGGAAGCAACGGATATTTTGAGTTCAGAAGGTGTATCAAGGTCAGTGAGGAATGACGAGCCACCTCAGTCCAGTGCGGCCGCCCTTATACTACAGTTGCTGAAGGAGCCTGCTTTAGCATCTGACCCGGCTCCTCATCCCCGCGAAATTCCGGGAAGCCAGACAGGCAGCTTGGAATTCACAGGAGCGCGCGGCGCAGCCTCGGCGGGCCGCCCACCTGGAGCGCGGATTTCAGAACCGCGGGGCGGACAGCTTGGGGGCCGGGCGCGGCTCCGCAAGGGGCGGGCCGGAGCTCCGGGAGCACGAGGACCCGCCTCCCTCCCAGCTGACGGGCTGCGTGTAGCCTACCCGTGGCGATCCCGGCCTCAGACCCGCCGCGCGCCCCGCCCCACTGAGGTGGGGCGTCCTGTCACCCCGCCCCGCGGGAGCCCAGCGCTCTCCATTGGCCTGCGCCTGGAGGTGCGGGAGGCGCGCCCGGCAGGCGGCTCGCGCCCGGGAAGGTCTGAGGCGCAACGCGGCTGCTGCGGGGAGGGCGC